ATCACGATTTTCCTGGTGATCATTGGTGACGTTAGTTGGCACAGTCATTTAGTTGCGCAAATGGATTATCATTAACACCGGATATAAATGGTGTAAAAGATGTAATTCTAAATTGTTTCAACAAAACTTTTCTAATTGGACTAGTAAAAATAAATTTATAGATAAATTTATTCAAGAAATTCAACTTAATGTTCAAAATAAAAGACAAATATTAGAATGGATTCCTTATTATAAATTTAAAAATATTGAATATCTTGATAAAGGGGGATTTAGTATTATATATAAAGCTATTTAGATAGATGGATTTATTAAATCTTATTCATATAAAAGAAAAAATTGGATTAGAAGTAATAAAATAAATGTATCTATTAAAAGTCTTAATAAATCATCAAATTTAAATGAAGAATTTTTAAATGAGGTATGAAATTAATAATATTTTTATTTAAATAATAAATTTTTTAATTAATTTTTATTAAATTTAGTGAAAACATCATTATAAATGTTATAGTCAATTAAACTTATATTCAGATGAAAATCTTATTCAATTATTTGGATTTACTCAAGATCTAAAAACTTTAAATTATATGGTAATAATGAATTATGCAGAAAATAGTAATTTAAGAAAAAATCTATCAAATATTGTTAAAGAAAATTGGATACATAAATTAACAAAATTATATAATATTATTAGTGGATTTAATAAGATTCATCAAAATAATTTTATTCATTGTGATTTACATCATGGTAATATTTTAAATATTACAAAAAATATTTTATCTATTAGTGATTTAGGGTTATGTAAACCAGTAGAATATTTTCAATCATGTAATAATAATGATATTTATGGTGTATTACCATTTGTAGCACCTGAAGTTTTAAGAGGTCAACCTTATACATTATCTAGTGATATATATAGTTTTTCTATAATTATGTGGGAATTAATATCTGGAATTCCTCCATTTAATTATGAAGCTCATGATTTTCAGCTTGCTTTAAGTATTTGTAAAGGTAAACGACCTAAAATTATTGCAGATATTCCACAATGTTATATAGATTTAATGAAACAATGTTGGGATAATAATCCATTAAAAAGACCAAGTGCATTAGAAATTAAAAATATAATAGTAAATTGGTATGATAATATTATAAATACAAATTTTAACAAAAAATCTAAAGATATTATTATAGAATTTTATAAAACAGAGAAAATATTATTTCGAAAGCAATTTAATAATATTAATGATACTAAACCTCATTTACAAGCATATCATACAAGTCAATTACTTAATTTTACTGAAAAGTTGAATGAAATTTTAGATCAAAAAAATAATGTAGAAATATTACTCTCCAAAAGTGAAGGTTTAAATTATATAATTACTGATTAATAATATTTTATAATATTAACAGAAAAGATAACTGATCTCTACAATAGAGTCAATCTATATTACTTTATTAGATTTATTACATCTGAATAATTTATAATTTATTTCTTTGCATATAATATTAGTCAAGAACTTTATATAAGAATAAGTAATGTAGTCTATATGGTCGATTCTTGGAAAGGTTGATAATTTTTGACGATTATACCGGCCAAAAAATATCAGTTTATGGTTATTTCCAAGATAAATTAGTTTTTTCTGTCATTATTACAGCTTATAGATTTGTGCTTTATGCTAGCAATCTGCTTAATGGACAGTACCGTGGTTTAATATATAGGAAAAAAAATCCGAAAAATCCGCGTAAAAATCGTTACATTTATTTTATTACTTTAAATTTATTTACTTTAATTATTTTATTTTTTTATAAACAAGAACAAGTAAAAATAATTCTTTATTTTTCAAACTTTATCGATTCTTTTATATCTCTTTACTTGATTAACTGTGTATTATTTTCTGAATATCACAAATATTTCAATATGATTCGGTTAACATGATACTTTCTTCATAATCTTAGTAATTAGCGGTTACGGGCAAAACTCTAATCCTATTTTGGTAAAAGTCAAAACTTTTCGCAAGATAAATTTGAAATCTCGACGGATCTCGATGGTTGAGTTGATTTCAATTTAACAAAATTTGACTGTTTAACTTGTTGATTAATAACCATACCAGTAAAGCATATTAGTAAATTGTTTATGGAAATACAACAAAATAAACACCTTGTTTACCACTCGAATTATTTAAAGACCATTATTAAACTCTCTTAAAGTCAAAAAGATAAAGATGAGCCTATTACACCTTCATTACTTTGAATATATTCATCAATTTTGTTACATAGGACGTAATTAACGACATAATGTCAAAACCTCGAGCTGCCACGGTAGTGTCAGTTAATATGGGTAGTCGTCTACTCTTAAATAATAAAAATTAATTAAGAAATTAATTATTTGCTAACCTTTTGTGCGATATAGTTCGTGGTACCATTCACTCGACCATCGGTTAAGAATACATGATCCTTTGCTACAAAAATCTTTAACAAGCTTGCTGATATGCTTTGGGAATGTGGCAAAATACATGATGTTTTGTCTAGTTTTTATATAGTTTTGATTATAATTACAACTGTGAATGTTGTAATTTGTATTTATGCAAACGACGTTCATTAATGAACCTTTTGATAATCAAGCGAGAGACAAATTTATGTGGTTTTGTATTTTGACATAATAAACTTTACATCATAATACTATGGTAACGATTTTTAAATAAATAGCAGTGGATCGTTACTTAGATAATTTATTGTTCCTTATTATTTTAATTACAGAGGATAGCAAAGTTTATAGGTAATATAAGTTAAAAAATCGTTAAATTTTTATGAAGTCAATTAGTTTACTTTTAGTTAACAAAATATGAAGCAAGGAAGTGATTTGTATTAATAAGACGGTGTTTTGAATCCAATTATGAAACAAAACTTTGGGCCAATATAACAAGATTTCTAGGAAAATCAGGTTCCGAGAAATTTTAACTAAAATTAAGAGCTTAATGCATTTTAATCTAATTATATCAAAAATTAAAAAGCAATAAAAATATCAATTTTGTTTCCTAGCAGTCAACCCATATGATAAATTAGGACCGATCATATTTATCCGTGGTAACCCTAAGGGAATCATTGGCTTTATACGCTGATTAATCAACGAGGTGTAATTTTTGATCGATTCAGTATGGCTAAATGAAATTTATGCAGGAAATTGCTTATATCTTATTTTACCTTCATTGGTAAAAAAAAAAAAAAAAAAAAAAAAAAAAGATAAAGAAAAATAATCTATAAATAAAGTGAGTATAGCTTATCATGACGTCCGTCATAAAAAGATGGTTTCTTTATATCCAGCAAAATATACAAAAAAAAGTTCTATAATTTTGCTATTATAAAATAATCTCATATAACAAATAGATAGTGTTATAATGAGAAATTTAGAGGTCACAGTTAATGTAACTAACATTCCTTTTAGTAAATTTTAAATAATAATAATAAAACTTGTGGATGAAAAAGTATGAATAGCGCATATGCTAATTACATGTAAATAATAAAAATAATAAATGAAATAAAAAAAAACATTTAACTTTCAATAATAACGGAAGTTATTATCATTTGAAGTAGAGAACGGAATTTGATTGATGGTAAACTAACACCAGGAGTTACCGTTAATCTTGAGATATTTATTTTTAATGATCCCAAGTCTTATATGATCGTTTTCTTCTAGGTATTTCTCGATTTTTGTAGAAAATGGAATCGATTAATAATTGCTGCAGTTACATTCAAAACTTATCGGCAAAGACATTAGGATATGTGATCATTTCTTATAAGAGATTGTCTTATTTATAGCCATCACAAATGTTCGGCAATGGCCATGTTAACCTCTGGGTGATGATTGATAGCATATGTCTTCAATCATATTTTCAGCCCACTAACTATATGAAGTAAGGAATTCTTTGATTTTTGCTAAGTGTCAATGACAATGATTATTGCATCAAAAGTGGTATTGCAAGTTTCAAGCGCTGATGTTGTCAATGTACTGCATTCGCCGGTGATTTGGATTTTGACAATTACCACCACGTCATACAAGATTATAATAGATTATTAAAGCTAAATCTGGTGCAGTATTACTGGATTACTATCTGTTTTTTTTATTCAGAATATCGAATTAAATTCATTAAGGTTTCTTATATTAGGAATTTTTATAACATCAATTATAATATGACTTTTCTGTTTTCTTAAATAAGTTAGTAAATAAGTTATTCCTAGGTTAAAAAATACAAGCCTGAAATGTGGGCAAAAATTAAATGATTTATTCAAAAACTTTACTAATATGAAAAAATCTGGACGCGCGTTATTAGACGCAATAATGTGCGATACGAACTATTTATGCGTTATACAAATTTATTCATATAATAATATAAATTTTGACTAGACTTAGATTGCTCGATTTGTTTCCAACAAATAATTAAAACAGCCATTAAGTCCAATTTTATTTTGAAAGGAAGAAAGCATAACTTATATGTAAATAATTTTCTTTTTTTGCAAATGAATACTTTATGCTAAATATCAATTACAAATAAAGTCTTTAAATAACTTTTCCTCCACGTAATAGTAATTAAATTCTTAAGAAATATTTCAAATTTGCTTCTTTAATTACTTATTGCACATGATTAAGTTTATTTATAACTCCTGAAGTGTGTATTGGCTTACAATGAATAATAAATACTCTTGCCTTGGTGGCGTGTTGATTTTTATGTATAGCTGTCTTAAGTGTCAAATTAGGATCTAAAAACTTAGTATCATATGAGACTTGTGGGTCATCGTGGATATTCTTTTGGTAACACTTTGATAACCAATCACGTGATATTATTGTTTGATTCCAGAAATTAGCGTATGCATATTGTTTCAGATATGTATAGAAAGAAACCAGCACTTGGGAGTTTGGCAAATATGTTACTCGAATTGATGACATTCAACTAAAAAACTCGCAACGATGAAAACAAAGCTTATCTGGTTTGATTGTTGAGACATTTCTTATAGATGTATCTGAAGCATCACAAGAAATTATTTAAAAAATGAAGCATTAATATATTCGTGAATCGGATAAATGATTTATCCTCTTTGACTTCACACTAGCGGTTTATTTTTTTTAGTACCAATTTCGAATATATTAATAATGTCGTAAGTATCCATCTGGTTCAATGATATGCAAGTCACTAATGAAAGTAATGTAATAAGTTATTTTTATACAGATACGGTATAGAGATTTTGAGCATCGTTAGGTATAACCGTTGTTATAATAATTACAAGTCGATAATTTATTTACAAATTGCTTAGAAATCTTTTTTTTTTAGTAGAATCACTTTGGCCGACTTGACCTCAAGCCAGTTTACCTCCGGCTATTGATCTCTGGCCATAATGTTGTTCTCCGACCGATATGTTCAGTTGTCAAATTGTCTTTTGGCCAAAATATTTCCTGATCAAAATGTTTTTCATACCAAATCGTCCTCTAGACATACTATCCACTGGCACCAAAAGTCAAATATACATACTATATGTTTTTCTTGGAGAAATAAAAAAGATTTATTATTGCTTTAATTTTGTTTTATCTTTTTTTTTTATTGGGTGTAGATCACGCATTTTATTAATAAATTTTACAGAACATCACCATTCCTTGATATCCGTTGTTAGACCTGGAATCGTCTCAAACCAAGCTAACAAAACTAATAAACTTAATAACACAATTATCTCAAAGGCCTTTCC